TTCTTACTTAGCGAGCGCGGAGGTAGTTATAGAGATTTGAAAAACCCCGCGTTGCGGCCTATGTGCTTGGCGGGAAGTAGTTGCAATTGTTCCAGTGAGCTTCAAGTCTGCTGAATTAGCAGCCGTATTGTAAAACGCGGTGAGTTAGTTATTTGAGAGAGCCTCGTAGTTAGAATATTGTCTTTAATTTCTTTTCAGGTTTTTATTTTTATTTTGACTGCCGAGTTGGCACCGTTTGTAAGCGTCAAGAGAACGCAATTGTAAATTAGTACGTTGAATAAAAAGGGACTTAAACCCTTTATAAGACTCTGTGGTTTATACAAGCTTTCACAGTCACCTCTTGGTTGCGTGCTAGTTAGAGGCGCGCAACGTTATAAGTTAAAAGATATTATTGAACCAGTTCAAGAAGACAATCAAAATAATAAAGCCCTATTTTATTTACCTCATAGAGCAGTCATCAGAAATGATAGAGCAACAAGCAAACTAAGAATAGTTTATGATGCTTCAGCCCATAAACCAAAAACACTCTCTCTAAATGACTGTTTATATACTGGTCCGAACCTATATCCTGATATTTTTGATTTATTGATAAAATTTAGACAAAATTCGATAGCCTTTACAGCGTACATTACACAAGCATTCTTACAGATAGAGTTAAATGAAGAAGACAGGGACGTTACACGATTCTTTTGGAAAGATGATCCTAATGATAACAATGAGAGTTTGAAAACCTTTAGATTTACAAGAGTTTTGTTTGGAGTAAAATCTAGTCCCTTTCTCCTAGCTGCTACTATTAAACATCACCTTAAAAAATATTCAGAAATATATCCTGAAACAGTAGAACTCTTAAACAACTACCTGTATGCTGATGACATTATTGGTGGTCACCAAAATTTAGAACAAGCCCTGAAAACAAGTTTAGAAATTGTGAACATTTTTAATGAAGCTAGCATGTCACTACATAAGTGGCATACTAATTCCAAAGAACTCAAAGATATTTGGCATCGCAAAGAATTTTCGATGAAAGAATCTCCTGAAGTTGTCCCGATCAAAGTGTTAGGAATTAACTGGGATACGGATAATGATAATTTTTATTTTGACACTCAGCACTTGACAAATTTTATTTCCTCGTCAATCAACTCAAAATGTTTTCTATTGCAAACCGCAGGCCGTATTTTTGATCCTGTTGGATTTTATGGCCCTTTCATTATAAGAATAAAGTGTCTGATTCAGGAAATCTGGTCTGCCAAAATTGATTGGGACGATGAACTGCCACCTGATCTTAGTTATAAATGGAAAGCCTGGTACGAAGAAATTGAAGAACTGAACCACCTCAGAATTCCCCGCTACTATTTAGAAGGAATATTAGATGCAGATGTGAAACAAATAGAACTCCATATCTTTCCTGATGCTAGTTTGAAAGCTTATGGATGCGTGGTATATCTGAGAATAGTTTTGAACAATGGAACTTTTCAAACAGTTTTTGTTGCTTCCAAGAGTAGAGTTGCACCTCTGAAATCCCTTACACTTCCTAGATTGGAGCTTTTGGATGCGCTTTTATCCGCTAGATTGAGTGATAAAATAGCAAAATCTTTAAAATACGAAGTAATCCCCTTCCACTGGACTGATTCTCAAATAACGTATTTTTGGATTCAAGGATCTCCCGAAAAATTTAAATCTTTCATCAAAAACAGAGTTTATGAAATTCAGAAACTAACTGAAAGCAATAATTGTCATTATTGCCGTGGGAAAGATAACCCCTCCGACCTCCTATCACGAGGAACTACTGTTGCTAATTTAAGAAATTGTTCACTTTGGTGGTTTGGACCAGAATGGTTGCAAAACAAACGTATAGACTGGCCAGTTCAACCGACGTTTGACGTGGGAAACGATAAGCAACTAGAACTCCGTAGTAAGATATCTGTTTATGACGTTGTTGTGAAAAGAGATGATCAACTATTGGATATAACAAAATTCAGTAATGTGCTGAAATATCTCAGAATTATGGCATGGGTTAGACGTTCGTTGCTAAGGCAAGAAAACTACCTGCTAATAGTGGAACATTAATTGCCTTTGAAATTCAGGACACTGAAATATTTTGTGTTCGTAAAGCCCAGATGGATTTCTTCACACCTGAAATTAAGGCTCTTCAATCTAACAAGTCAATTTCTCCAAGCTCTGATATATTCAGCTTGGCACCGTTTCTTGATGAAAATAAAATTCTTCGAATTAAGGGAAGATTAGAAGAAACCGAATATACAGTTGACGAGAAGCATCCAGTTTTTCTTCCTAAAGATTCCAAATTTACTGAATTAATTGTAAAAAGGGAACATAATAACGTTCTGCATGCGGGAGTTGCAGCAACTTTAGCCAAACTAAGACAGAAATTTGGATTCCTAAAGGCCGTCAGTTGGTAAAGAAAGTTATAGGGAACTGTTTAATTTGTCGGAAATACTCAGTAAAACCAGCGAAATAAATGACAGCTCAGTTACCTAAAGATCGAATTGTTGAAATTCCACCTTTCTATGTTACAGGCGTGGATTTCACAGGTCCAGTTTACATCAGGTCTGGAAACGACATTCAGAAATCATACATCGTATTGTTTACGTGCGCTGTTACACGAGCGTTACATCTAGAACTCATTTCCAATATGTCTGCAAACAAATTCACTTTGGCTCTCAGACGTTTCATTTCGAGAAGAGGAAACTGTCGCACCTTTTATTCAGATAACGCGAAAACTTTCAAATATGCTGCCAAAGATTTACAGTATTTTTGCAGCATGATTAAAGGCACAGACTTTCAAAATTTTCTAGCAAATGAAGGCTTGACTTGGAAATTTATCGTCGAGCTTGCTCCATGGTGGGGAGCTTTTTATGAACGCCTTATGAAAACCATAAAGGAACCGTTAAAAAAGATATTAGGCAGAGCTCAACTGAATTTTGAAGAATTTATGACTGTGTTGACAGAGGTCGAAAATATTGTGAATAGACGTCCTTTGACCTACGTTTACAACGATTTACATGAACCTGAACCGCTTCCACCGGCTGATTTTCTATTGATCGGACATAAGGATGAATATCCATACAACTTTGCTGAGATCCTGAATAAATCTCCAACAAGAAAGAGTCTAATAAAACGAAAAGAATATCAGACAACACTTATAAAACAGTTCTGGAAAAAATGGAAAAATCAGTATCTTCTTGAGTTAAGAAATGCTCACTTCTTCGGCACACCAGAAGCCAAGAAAAATCTTAAAATTGGTGATATAGTTTTACTTGAAGGAACAACTAAATCTAAGTTCCTCTGGGATTTAGGTGAGTAATTCAAGTCTTCAAAGGACGTGATGGTCTTGTACGATCATGTGTGGTAAAAACTAAAAAAGGGGACCTTAAGAGACCTGTACAATTGATATACCCCCTTGAACTATCAGACTGAAAATGAACTAAATTTGTAACCTTTTAATTTTATTTCTTATATTTTATGTTCACTAACATTAATTTTAGATAATTAGTTTAGTTATTACTAATAATTTACTGTTTGTAATTTGAATTAATATTTACATATTGAGTAACATTTGAGTTGATGCAGTTAACTATATTTGTTTATTTTATAGAATTTCCTTTTGCAGTTTATATTTACATCAGTTGAATGTATTTGATATGTAAGTTGCTTTCTTATATTTTATTATTTGTATGCTGAAATAGTGATAATTTTTGCAAAAATTATCAGATGGGGAGTGTGGAAAAATCCCCCAGATGATTTATGTATCGCCGTTAGAGGGCGCTTCGCTTCTGAAAAGGAATGTTTTTTTTAGTTTGCGACGTAGTTAGTTAGCAGTGAACCTTCGATGCAATTAAAGTTGCTTTGTAAATAAAATGATTATTTTTGTAGATTGTTGAAGTATTTCACTTCATTTAGAATTAGAACCACCTTTCGCAATAGTTATTACTTCCTGTTAATATTGAATTGCCTTATTTTATTAGTTCATCACTGAACGTAATATTAGTGATATCAGGTTATTACTTCCTGTTAACACTGAACTGCCTTATTTTATTAGTTTATCACTTGAACGTAAACTTAGTGATACCATTTTAATGCCGTCTCTACTAGAGTTCAAAGGAAAAGAAAAATAGCTGAAGAGAAGATCTTGGAACCGATGAAAGAAGAAAATAAAGCATCCAGAGATATCTTTGAAGAAGTTAAATCACCGGAATTAAACATGGAAGATTTTCACGAAAATTTGAAAAACGATAAAGAAATTAATATTGAGAATCATTTTGCATGCAGCGTTATCATCATCTTTCGGCTTTTGATTTAATATCAAAGCCGCTACTAATAGACGAAGAAAACAATTGTCGAAAGCAAATGACAATTGAATATTATCCGAAAAGCACAGATGAACTGAGGAAAGGCTTTGCTGTGAATTATAGCCGAGGAACTGGTCCACCATGGAAGAGATCTAGGCGCCGTCAAGAAAAAAAAGGGAAGACTAGATCATTTTCCATTTTTTTCTGTTTAAATGTGGTGTAAAATTATTTGTTTAAACTGAAAAATTTTGGCCTGAAGTTTGGAAACTTATCAGAGAAGTTACCTTTCCTCTTTATGCAAATGAGCAAGCCGAGCTTATTAAACTGTCGAATTTTACAGAACTTTTCCCTTCGGAAAAAGTCTCTCCGTTGGGGAAGAGGTTGTAACAGCTTTAAATAATATTAAAAATCTTGTAGTTTAAATAATTTAAATAGATGAACATTAAGATATTTGTGAATGGCAATATTTGAAACCAGACTCGAGTGCCTCGTGCGACTCTTGCACGAAGAATGTAATTTATTTTTTAAATGTTAGAATTTGTTTTCTCTTCGTGTTTGTATGTCGCCATTTTTTTGAGTGTTAAATAAAAGTTATTGCTGTGTTCCATCATTGGAGTTGCTTCATTTCGCCAAAGAAGTATCACAAGATGCCAATCCACATCTTTCTGTTATTGATAAACATGTTTTCCTCAGAGGTTATTTAGATGGTGAAGCTAAACGCCTTGTTGATGGAATTAGTGTAATAGGAGGCACCTATGAAACAACAAAAAAATTGTTAGAGGAAAGATATGGAAATAAAGATCGAATTATCCAATCACACTTAGATTACTTAGAACATTTAAATGTTATTCAAGACCCATCTCCTACGCATCTAAATGATCTTTACATAGAATGTAACAGAAGAATTCAAGCTTTAACTGCTCTGGGTGAAAATATTGAAGCATACGGTAGAATCCTAGTGCCAAAAATTATTCGTGCATTCCCCAATGATATTTGTTGCCGCTGGATTATCTATGCCAAGCGTGAAAAACTAAACGAAGGTAATATTACTAGATTGATGCAGTTCTTGGCAGAAGAAGTGGAAGGTGTAGTTGCAGCACAAAGAGTTAAAGGTACGTCTTTTTCTGATCACACCGTAAAGTGCACTGTAGAAAATTTTAATATCAATTCCAAAACAGTAAACAAACGTAAGAAAATTTCACCATTTTGTTCATTTTGTGATACTACAGGACATTGGCCTCAATATTGTGAAACTGTTACAGACTATGATACTCGTGTTCAGAAACTTAAAACTTCAAATCGCTGCTTTCTGTGTACTAACCGTGGTCATAGAGTTTCAAACTGCCCAAGAAAAAATACTGCACGGTGCACTAAATGCAAGAAAAGGCATCATGTTTCTATTTGTCCTCCTGTTGAAAACAATCAACTGCGGATAACTAACAGTGCTGTAAATCACATAACCTTTCCTAAAACAATTTTCACACATTTGCAAACTGCTCGTGTGTATGTTACTGGCCCCACAGGCATTACTAAATTAACACGCTGCATTTTAGATGGTGGTAGCCAAGCAAGTTTTGTTCACACAAACCTCATTGAAAACCTTAAGCTTAAAGTTGTCAGTTCTGCCTCACTTTCAGTTCAAGCATTTGAATCTTTTACTTCACAAGAACAACGTAGATGTGTTCAACTGTCACTTTCAAGTTTGTGGAGCAACCAAGCAATTTTGATCTCCGCATTTGAAAGCTCCAATTCCTATACTACACATCCTACTGCTCCACCAGAAATAGTTCACTTTGCTCAGAAGAAAAGATTGAGAATTGCTGATCCTCCGGATGACTCTTCACTGCCCATAGAAATACTTATTGGTGGTGATCATTATTGGCAAATTGTTTTCCGCAGAAGCTCCAATCAAGCTTTCAGAATCTTTTGTTATGGTACCGTCAGTGTTTGGATGGGTTCTTAGTGGAACAAGAACACATACTACAATCGCTGAGAAGACTTCTGTCCATCAAGTTTGTGTGCAAGTTAAAACTGATTGTTTAAATGATCAGGTACGTCGCTTCTGGGAATTAGACTCCATAGGGATACAAGATGCGCAGAAACGAAAAATGACTACTCGAGATGAAGAAATTTTATCAGAATTTCACAAAACTTACAACACTGAAGACAATCGAAGAATTGTGTCTCTGCCTAGAAAACCATTGGTCACACCTTTGCCTACAAACAAAATTATAGCGGAAAACAGATTTCATTCTCTTCAAAAAAGACTTGCATCTAGTGATGTGTTAAAGACACAATATGACAAATGCATGCTGAATTACATTGAACAAAAGCATGTTGAAGTTTGTTCCATAGATGAATCCAATGAGAAGCCAGTATATTACCTTCCTCATCATGCTGTACGAAAAAAAAAACACAATCTGAAACCAAGTGGAGAATTGTGTTTGATGCTTCCTCGCATGCTCCAGGAATGATTTCACTGAACGATACCTTGGAAGCTGGCCCGAATCTTCTTCCTGAATCTATTGGTTGTCTACTAAGATTTCGATTGCATGAATTCGCTGTTACATGTGATGGTAAGCAAGCTTTTTTACAGTTGTCACTACATAAAGAAGATAGGGACGTCACAAAATTTTTCTGGTACAAATTAAAATCTGATTCATCTCAACCTACTACTTTTACAGATGAAATAACTGTTTACAGATTTACTCGTTTACCATTTGGGCCTTACTTGCAGTCCGTTTTTTACTCTGTGCTGCGACACGAGAATTGGCTGCAAAACATATCGCAGAATTTCCAATTGCTGCACCAATGATAGATAAACATCTCTATATGGATGACTTTCTTGCTAGTATGGAAACTGAATCATTCATTATATTATAATGCTATATCACGAGATCAAGAATTTAATGGCTCTAATAAAATTGCCTATGGAAAAATGGGCTACAAACTCTTTGAAACTCAAAGATGTACTACAAACACATGAAGAATCTCACAAAACGGAAACAACTGTCTTAGGTATTGGCTGGAATACAACTTCTGATACTTTGAAGCATGCATTCAAGACTTCTCTCTGTGTGTTTCTACAGACAAACCACTTACAAAGAGATGGTTACTCCGCTGCATTGCTAGTTTTTATGATCCCTTAGGCCTTTTTTCACCGTTTACTATTCTTGGGAAAATCTTATTCCAAGATACATGGATTCTTGGAATCAAGTGGGATGAATTACTACCTGCTAATTTATCAACTTTATGGTATGCATGCTGTGAAAGAACTTGATGACATTTGCTCCCTTCAAATTCCTCGATGCATAGGGCATTTCATCACATGTTCCTTTTGCTATTCATGTGTTTTGTGACGCATCTGAACGTGCCTATGGTTCAGTTCTGTACATTGTTACCTTTAAAGGTGACCAATCGAATGTGAATTTAGTGTGTAGTTCGCAACAAACTAGCTCCTATAAAGAAAGTTACCTTACCTCGTTTGGAGCTCTTGGCGGCCCTGATGGGAGCACGATTGTTGCAATATTTCTGTGCTGAAACAAACATCTGTTCGTCAAATGCAACATTGTGGAGTGATTCTCAAGTTGTCTTAGAGTGGATACGCAATGACCCCAACAAATGGAAAACTTTTGTTAGCAACAGAGTAACAGAAATTATTTCCTATACCAATCCTTCACAATGGAGACATTGCCCTGGCAAAGACAATCCAGCTGACAAACTTTCTCGAGGTGTTTCATTTCTTTGTGTTTGATTTAAAGTTCGACTAAAAAATGCCACGGGCTGCTGATTTTGCGAAAGTACCGCTCCTACCGCATAATCCGAAGCATCCGCTGAAATTTCTAAATTCTCATTCTTTTCTGGAAATTTCAACACAGGGGCTTGCGTTAATGCTTGCTTTAATTTTTCGAAAGCACTATTGGCTTCGCCGGCCACGAGAATCTTGCCTTTTACCTTTTTAATTTTAACAATGGTTCAGCAATAGCTGCAAAATCTTTTATAAAGGACCTATAATATGAACAAAGTCCTAGAAAAGAAGAGAGCTTCTTCGCCGTATTTGGCGGCGGATACTTTTGTACAGCGATTATTTTTGATTCGTCTCTCTCAATTCCTTTCTGAGATATTTTGTAACCTAAGTACTTTAATTCAGGGGCTGCAAATTTGCACTTTTCGACATTAACTTTTAGACCGGCCTCATTTAATAATGAAAACACCTGTCTTAAATCCTGTACATGTTGTTCCAGATTATCACTAGTAATAATGATATCGTCTAAGTAGATAAATTTGGACTTTCCAAGAACAGGCCTTAGCACAATGTCCATACATCGCTGAAATGTTGCCGGTGCCCCTGAAAGGCCAAACGGCATACGCAGGAATGCATAAGTGCCAGACTTGGTTATAAAACTAGTCTTAGGCACGTCCTCCGGTCTAACCCATATTTGAAAATAACCAGTCGTTAAGTCTAAAGTCGTTATGTATTTGGTAGACGTTATGTTCCTTAGAATTTCTTCAATAATAGGTAACGGATATACCGGATATTTAGTTATGGAGTTTAATTTACGATAGTCAATCGCGAAACGCCACCTTTTTGGATGTGTTAATGGATAGTCATTGTTTTTCTTACATAAAACCACCGGGCTAGCATAACTACTTGAGATGGGCGTTAAGATCTTTTTACGTAACATATCGCTAATGTGCCATTCTATAATTTTTTCTTTATTCTTATCATACCGGTATGCCTTGTGGCGAACTGGCATTGAATCTCCGGTGTCGATACTATGGTTAGTAACTTGGTAATTACTATGGTAAATCCTGGAATATCACTAAATAACGAAGCAAATTCACTTACCACTTGTCGGATTCTTTGTTGCTCTTTCTTAGGCAGGTGATCAAGGTTTAACATTGGCGGTTCCGTTTTTTCTTCTCGAACTGGTTTCATCGTCAGCTTAAGGGACGCTTCATTAAAATCCAGCGTTGCTTCTGTGTCTGAAAGAAAATCTATTCCTAAGATGATATGTGCTTGCAGATTCTTTACTATAAAAAACATAACCTTTACTTGTTCGTCCTTGATACGAACGTATAGCGGTAATTTACCTATGCACTTACATCTTTCTCCTTGCGCAGCTAACACTATCGTATTATCCGAATTATATATGCGGTATTTCCGAAAATACTTCCTAAAAAAATCTTCTGCCACACAGGAACACTGCGCGCATGTATTCAGGAGTGCGGTGGCTGGGATGTTATTCACCAACACTTCAATCTTTGGAAGAGTCATATTTTTCACCATTACTGTAATTAACTTGAAGGAAGAGGGGTTTTCTTGGCCTTCGGATTTCCGCACCCTCCCGTCAGCAGAAATCCGTTTTCGTTTAAATCTTTTTTTCTTTCCATGCTTTCCTTCTTTTTCCACTGGCCTTGAGACTTTTTTTCTGGATTGCTATTGAAATGTCGACGTTCGCCGGCTGTTTTTTTATGCTCGGGTTTCCTTGACTACTGATTCGTTTGCTTCCGTAGCCGTGTGCTTGACTTTGCTGTGGTCTTGGCTCACCAAATTGGTTTCGTTGTTGATATTGGCGTCTTCTTTCAATGTCCGCCGTTCTTCTACATTCAAACTGGATTGCTAGCTCAAATAACTTTTCCAGTGTAGTCGGATTCCTTAATTCAATAAAGTCTTGTACTTGGGGAAGTAACCTCGGCAAAATCACTTGAATTATCTCAGGATCCGGACGGTTTCCATACAAGAGTTTGAAGACGGGAATTTTTCTTAAAATAAAGCTTGAGAGATTTTCAATTGGTTTCTAGTATATGCTGAAAAGTTCCGCTTCTAATTTCGCACGATCCCTTACGACAGGGAAGGCTTTTACTAAGGCAGTCTTGAAATTTTCGTAAGTATAGGTGGGACTTCCCGCTTGACCCAAGAGACTTCTCTCTATGCATTTGAACCAATTAAGCGCTTGGCCCCTCAAAGCGCTGATAGCTAAGGTGACTTTTTGGAACTCATGCACGGGATACATCATGAAGTAGTCATCTAGTTTTTCCAAAAAACTGGTTACCGGTGAGTTTCCATTAAATGTTGCTTCTGGTTTCATCGCTGCGCGCATGGTCTGGACGATGTAACCAAATCCTCCCAGGGCGGCAGCTGGCATTTCTGGATTGTGAGCCCCTTCTGCAGGCAGCACAGGTTCTTCTTGAAACTCGGCCATAGTTATTCTTCTTCGTCGGACGCCACTATCAGGTTCAGTGTTTCTCCTTACTTGCTTTGGGAACATTCAAGAACCTGACTCGGAACAGGGAGCTTACTAAAGCTATGTTCAATAAATGTGGGAAGTAGACAAGATACACAGGAAGGGTATACGAAACCCTTTATTTTTCACCCTTTACAATGATTTCCGTACTTCGGAATACAGAGACCAACCACATGTGGTCTGAACGTAAGAATATAAAAATATTAACTAAGCTCTAACTTAACTTTGGAGTAACAAACAAGGGCCTACGTGGAAGATTGGCCGTATATTAACAGGAAGCCGTATGTAGTACAGAGAACTGTTAACACTACAATACGTTTAAAATTATTAAGAGGATTAAACCTCTGGCCTGGAAGGCAACCAGCAACCGAGTAAAACTGGTAAGGCAAGCGGCCTGCTTCTACTAACTCCTTTCTCTCTCTCGCTTGGCAAAAAGCCACAACTTAAGTACTTGGCGTTCGCAAGACAAATTTGCATAAATAAGTTAAAGCTTTTAATTCTGGCTGGAAGTAGAAAATAAGAAGTGATAGTAAAGATTTAAAATAAAATAAACGTTAGTAAAACTTAAGATCCTTACATGGTAAATGAATTAATAATACCAAATATTGAGCTTGAGACATATCCAAAATTTTACTGTTTTAAAATCGCATGCGATAGATCAGAATAATTGGAATTTGGATGCTATAGAAAATTTCCTTTCGTAAAAGGAACAGCCTACAAAATGATATCTATTTAAAGATTGAGGACTATTTATAGCGGAATCTTCCAAAGGAAATCATAATTTACGAAATAATTGCTGACGAAATTTCATTTCCAAAGTTTACATGATAGAAAAATACTTTTGCATGTTAAGCCGATCCTTGTAATTTTCCAGTTACTTATACTACCATAAGAAGATGATGGTTATACATTTTTCTCCTGCACCTGCATTGCGTGCGTTATTATTTGTATTCAACTTGCTCACGTATAAATTTATGCCGAAGATGACACCATGCATTGTACTACCAATATGCCATAAATATGTTCATCAAAAAAAAAAAAAAAAAAGAATAGGAATAAGCTTTATTATAAAATGCGTTTTTATGTGATTTTCTTAATTTTCAAGGAATCAATAATTAAGTGACAAATTAAGTGAAGAAACACGATCCGCCATTTCACGAGGCACCATCTGGTGCTCCCACAGCTTGCTTTGAAATCTAGACTTTTAACATCTAAATATGATTAATGACAGTTCAAGTTGCTGTCATTACTGCAAACTTCTGTTCACAGGTGAAGGTACTTGTTACAGAATCTGTCACCTATCATCAACGGAGACACGCGGAATCCTAGTTTATTGAATTTCATTTATAATGTTCATTTCATATCAGAAGAGAGAATTTCCCAAATTTTTTCTTACTAATAACAGACATCACGTCGGAGTTTTGAATTTTTATTGATCTTCGGTAAAGTCTGTTCGCAGCTTTTTCTTGCAATTTTTATTTTTCAGCTAAAGTCAAGATGTGGTTGAAAAGATTTAAGAATTATTTTTAGTTTCTAAACTTATTGGGGCCTTAAGTGTTATTAATTTTAGTGAATATCACTGAACTATTTCTCAAATGCGAAGTTTTAATTTTGAATTATATGTTTAAAAGTTAGTTAATTAGATTGTGATTTTATTTATTTATTTTAGTTTTGATCATACATTCCATTCCTTTTGTTTTAAAGTTTTCCCGCTTGGTTTAGCTGAGAAGTAAAATAGGAATCAGAATGAAATTAAACGAGATATGGAATTTCTTGTAATACTTTGTCAGACCGAATTTAATTATAATATATAGAGGAAAAAGTATTCATTAATTCTAATAATAATAAAGTATTTATCAATTTTTCTAGTTACTTCAAGTAATGGCATTCCATATCGGTATTCATTCACACGTATTAGATCGCCGGTTGTTGTGAAATTCTGTAGTAATATTTTCTGAATCTAAATTTTACGGTGATATGAAATTTAAAATTCTAATGTTTAAAGCTTAGATTAATATAAGCTCAAATTTTACTATATCTTGCTCAAAAACAGCAAAGTGGACAAAATATCATTTTCTTCTTTTCGACTCGATTTCGCAGCCTACTACTGAATTCCTGATTTTTGTTCTAAATAACGCATACGTATTAATGTACGATTACATTGCACGTATCAATGTGCAAGCAGCCACGGATAATTTACAACTATCGCAAAATCCAAATTCTGAAAGCAATGCTGACATTCTTTCATACAATATGACAAACACTAAAAGCTACGTTAGCACAGAATTCGAACTCACTTTGTTTACATATATAATCAAATAGTCAAATAAGCTATCTACTCTCTGCAGCACGGTGGCCGCTTTTGCTATTTTATACCTATCTTCCTTTTATTCTATAGCCTTCTCTTCAATCAATGCATCATGAACTTTTTTGTCTGATAAAATCATGCAATCATTATCATCCATGTTTTTCTCCTTCCTCATTCTTCTCATTTTTGATC